AAAACAGACCTTACAGTCTCTAATAATTTCTGTGCATGATGTTAATCTAATCTAATCACATCCACAAAATATGCTTTAATTTAAAATTTACATTTTCAAAATAAGTTTGTCTTCATGTTCCATATTCGCTGGAGGAAAACAATGTTGGAGTGATAAAGGGTGAATGCAGCAAAAACTTTACAGTGGATGTAAAACCGTTTTGTATTGCTCCCGCAGCACATTATGTAAACTGCATTTATGACAAAGAATAATCATAATCAGTCGATAAATGCACACACCTTGTCCTCTGCTTCCTATGCTATCGCTGTGCTGCTGCTGACTGAAGAACATGCTGAATAACCCAGATAGCAAAAGTATAGCTCAATTTTACATACATTCTAAATAATAAACATCTTAAAGACATCTTCTAAATGTCTATTTGACATCTGATAGAAAACGTCCTATACAGTAGATGTATTGCAGATGAGCAAACACTCTAAAAAAATATGTCTTGCAGACGTCAAATAGACGTCTTCGTGATGTACGTGTGCTATCAGAGAACGCTTAAAGACGGGGAGGAGCCGAAGCTGAAGCCCCACTAAAAGACGCCCCTGGTAATTAGCCCACAGTATAAAATTCATTGCCTATCATTTATCAATCTTATATCTGGCTTATCATTTGAAATTGAAACATGCAGTAGCAACTTTACACGGCCGCTGGCTCTAACGTTAACCTAGATAAATGTGCGCTGTGAGGCACGTATCCAAGTGTTTGTGTGGAGTGTGGAAGCTGTTAGCGCGTTACTGCAAGACATGGAGGCGCCGGCGCGATTACTGGCATGTTTTCCTAAAATTCAGGTGAAACAACTTAAAATACGCCGTAATTTTTGCTCATGCAGATACGAGTAATACATCATTCGAAGGCGGCTCTACTTTTATTTGTGTGCTCTCACAATATCAAGAAAACGTTGTGCTTTTGTAAAATAAAGAAAACAAACCGGACGCGCTTTCTGCCGTCTCGATCTCCATGAACTGGAGCGCAGCACAAAAATGAATCGAAACTCAGCTGATAGACTGTTTACCTCACAGACATGAGAAATATATCTGTAGAAATCTTGAAATGTCTACTTTTAAATGAACCAATTGAAATCGAAAAGAAATACTCTGGTTATGTAATCTGTATGAAAGGTGCATTTCTCTCTGAATGCAAGTCACTGTACTGTGGAGATGGCGAGTCAGTCAGCATCGGCAACTTCATCTCTGCAGCCGACACAGACTCAGAAAACACTAGTTTATTAATAAATAATTTAAATATCTCCTTGCTATTTTTTAACACATTCATAGCTTTTTTAATATAAACGTGTGATAATTCGACTAATGGCTTAACTAAATGATAACCAGTACACTAAAAACAACAGCAGAGTCTGAAGCTCTGAGATGAGTTTGGACCTTGAGTTACATGTTGGTCTCTGGTCAGGGATTATGAAATATCACACAATATCACACATATAGTCAAATACTCACATGGAAGCTTATCCATCTCATTGAGGAACTTGTTTTTGATGTCACCAAAGACATCATTCTTGCTGACTGGGCCCTGATGCTCGGTGGAGTTGTCTACAGGTGTGGAAACAGCAGGGGCCATGGTCAGGGCACTGGCACCCGTGGGCTCGGGGCCCACCATGGCCGCAGGCTTCTTCTTGAGCAAATTCCACTTCATGCTTAACGGCTACGCCAACAGAAACCCTGATGGGGAAAAAGAGAGTCAAGATGACATGAGTGTGATGAGATGAGATGCTCCTGAATCTCTGAATCTCATTCTCTTTGATGGGAACTGAATGAAACGACTTACTCGCTCCATCAAACATGCAAATGTTGCTGACATAGACATAATGTGACACACTGTCTGATCTCTTGATTATTAAAATGTAGCCAATAATGTGAAAGGTGATGCGCAACTTGTCAGTAAGTGGGATTTCATCAGTAATAGAGTATGGCAGGATTGAATAAATGAACATAAAAATAGTTAAATATTAAATTAAATTAAATTAGTGTAGGAAGTAAAAAGCTCCCTTTATTTTAAACATGAAAAAATGACCACTTATGTTTTATTCACCCCAAAATGCCCATTTTGACTTTAGAGGACTTTAGAGGATTTTTGTAAATAGACTGTCTAATATTTTAAAGAAATATGTAAATTAATGACTTGAATTGTGGTTTGCTAAGAATTGCTAAGAACTGAAATGTTTCTGTACAGCCATATTAAAATATAAGAAGAAAAAAAATATTGTATTTTTTGTCATTTGTTGCCCAATAATGAAACAGCAAGTATTGACTTACTAACAAATAAACAAATTTTTTAATTTGCAAATCTAAATGAAAATATCTGACGTTCTCAGACTTTTTCCACACACAAGCAGAAGTTAATTTGTTTCTCAGTTTAATGATGAAAATCCACTTTAAAATGTTACTATTTTATATATAAAAAAAAAAACAGACTGCATGGTTCAGCTTGTGAAGTTATAGAATACAAAAAAAAAAAAAAAAAAAACAAAAT